TAGTAAACCAAGTTCATAGTCTTGAGTCTTAAGATTCACCGATTAATGTAACCAAATATTTTATTTATAATGATGCAATAATATCGATTACAGAATCCTAGGGTGTTAAAGTGTTAAGTGATAACTTTGTCGAGTCTAGGGAAGCTGGATCGAATACGATGTGAGTCGATTGAAATTTATTTTGTAGCGGATCCAGGTAATAAATCGGTAAGAATGTGTTTAGTTGTTCCTCTAGAACAACCTCTCCACATACCAGAAACGGTGAGATAAGGGGTAATCGAAAAAAAACATCTGGCAACATATTCAAAACCGAAAACTATTCTAAATTTGTAACCAGAGACAATCACTTTATTATCATAAAAGGGTGCTGCCCAATTAAATTGGGTTGTTAAAAACACTGCATACTTATTAATCACTACAGGCAATTTTTTACAACTAATATACAATTATATAGGATTAACAATATGTATGAGCATCGTATACAATATTTTTTTTTTTATCTCTATGTATTATTTTATATGTTTTTCTTTTTTTTTTTACTATTGCTTTCATTCATTTATTATCATTTCTCTTCCTTCTCTCCCCTTGTACATTTTTCCTACTCCTCATATTCTCTCGTCTCTCTTCCGAACCTAATTCATAAAATGTATAAAAATACATAAATTACAGTGGACGTGTTCAATAAATAATGATATAAAACTGCTGTAACACACGCATGCCCCCCTATGAACAAACTCTCTCCCTATCCGCTCCCATGCACATGTTGGTAGATGATTCCCATTAAAATCCAATTACAATAGGAATGGACAATTTCAAGATATAGTATCTGCTGCAAAAAATATAAGTTTCACAGAGTTTATTGAAAACAAATGTTTCTTGTAAAATAACTTATAGGTTTTAGTATAAAACGAGGGTGTAGTGGAATGTTGTGGAGGCAGGTTATATGTACACACAGCTGGCGTGAGTTAAGAGGTTGTGTGAAATGGATTTGTCACTACCGCGTTTATTTGATCGTTAATATCGTTATTATTATTATTATGTATCAGTATTTCCCATATTATTCATTGACAAATCCATTAATAATCTCTCACCAGTTCTGATTATGTGTTGACCAGCGCGGCGTTGTTCTCTCTGTAACATAGACGGGGAACCTTTTTATCGTTACTGGCCACAGTAATGTTAGACAGTGTTAATGGAGGCCGCAATAATTCTTTTCGTTTTACCGTTGCTATTTTTATTTAATACACACATCCTCATACATATATTCAATTTTATTCTAATAATTTTCAAGTTGTGGTAACTAATTAATAATTAATTAAATAATTAAATATTAATTAATTTAAACATCGCTAACGCTAGATTATTAAACATCGCACAAAAACGTTGGGAGGCCGCATGTGGCCACCGAGGCTGCAACTACGTCACAAAGGTTTCCCAAGTATGCTGTATAATATAATTTTTTTTACTGATATTTGTACGGCTAGGACATGCATTTTGGGTCTCGGACATGTAATTTGGATTATCGATTTGGAATTAAAGAAAAGTATATAAAGGAAGATTTTATTTTTCTCATATTCCCTCACATTATCATTAAAAGTATGTAGCGTTCGGAGCAATCGATTAAATACTTCTGTTAATATAATAACTGAAAACCTAAAATTACGAGTAAATACTAAACAGAAATAGTTTAAAATAATCTGATTGCATTAACAGTTCGATCAGACACATCCTTTAAGGCCACCCACAACACGACCATGTAAGGGACGCAACCACACGGCAACCACTACTAATTTGCTACTAGAGGAGAAGCCTTTATCATGTTCTCAACAACCAAATAAGCTTCGCCTTCTCGTCCATAATTAGCTTTCAATGGGATGAAGACAACATCTCATTAAAATTGGCCCAGAAGATAATTAATCATTATTAATGAAATTCTCTCTTAATTATATTAAATTATATTATTATGTACTCGTGTTCAAGAGTTTATGAACGTCATGAACGAAATTATAATAGGAGTTAAACGAAAAGCTTGCCCCGGACGCCTAAACTTAAAGGGCCCTTGATTCTACTTTTTTTCCGAAAAATATTTTCAAAAACTCAAAAGGTTCTAAAAATAGCAATATTTATTTAATCAGAAGATGAAAAACAAAAATATATAGATTTTAGGATATACCTACTTCTGTCAGGTTACAAAAGTTGGACTTTCTTTACATCGTTTGGTATTATTTAGGTAATCCTTACCTCTATCTGGTTATTTTCTTTACATGTCAGACGGAATAATACCAATTAGTTTATATTTATCTTTCGCTCAGTTAATATGGAGTGGGCAGATATAGAAGTTGGAAAATGTAGGTCAGAGATTTTCAACACTTTGAAACCTATGGGCATCAGCTGTATGTTCATATACTGCACTATAACTAGATATAATGTGATCCTGCCCGTATGTGACAGACCTCGACTGGTCTTCCGCACTGTGAGAACGGCAAATCTAGTGAAAGCAGTGCTGCAATCCCATTCGAAAGTCATGTCATGGGAATCCATCCATGGGAATCTCTGTCAAATGAATGTCTCGCATAATAAAAAGTGACTTAGGATTGGTGCATTTCGAAGAATGACAGGACAAAAGCTAACCACTTTCCTAAAAAAATTAGAGTGGATAGATGCAAAAGGCTCCTAGGCCGTTACACCTATGGCCTTTATCAAATGATTTTGTTTAGCGATGAGAAAATGTTTACAATTGAAGAAAAAATTAATCGCCAAAATGACCGTGTGTACGCACACAGCTCTAAAGAAGCCCAGGAACTCATAAGAAGCTCAGGAGTGGAAAGAAGTCATCACCCTTCCTCAGTGATGGTTTGGTGGGTAATTTGCTTTGATGGCATCACAAAGCTCCATTTTTGTGAAAAATGATTTAAAACAGCCGCTAAAAACAAACAGGACGATATTTTGGAACCGGTTGTCAAGCCTCAAAATGATACTCTGTTTGCTAAAACTCATTGGATTTTCCAGCAGGATTCAGCTCCAGCTCACAAGGCCATGTCAACCCAGTAGTGGCTGCAAAAGAACATTCCAGAGTTCATCTCTGCCATGGATTGGCCCTCAGGATGCGCTGATCCCAACCCACTAGATTATCGGATTTGGCCACAGAGCACGCCCTAACTTGAAAAGCCTCAAACAATCACTGGTCCGAGCAGTTGAGCGCTTTCCTCAGGAGGTGCTGCGTGCTGCTATTGATGACTGGCCACGGAGATTAAATGGCTGTGTCAAGGCAAATGAGGGGACATTTTGAGTAATTTCTTTTTTATTTTACTCGCTATAGATATACAAAATTTTATTGTCGAATAAAGTTGTTGAAAAAATTAATTTTTCTGTTGATATCTGTATATATTTTCTTGTAACAATATCTATGGCAGATCTGACAGCAAAGTGATACTCAATTTCAGGTGATGCCTTAGCAAAGATTCACTTCCTTGGGTTTTTGAAATTTTTACGTAATCCAAATGTAAGTAGTTTACCTGTAGTAAAAATTACGTTTTATTTTTAAATAGTTCTAATATGCATAGACCGTAAATTCTGATTTATTGTATATATTACATTGAGGGTTTATTGTATTCAGTATTTACTTTTAAAAAATATTATAAAATATAAGATATGCGAAAATTTCGATGCTATGTAACCATTCAGGGGTGGTGGTATAACCCTATAATTCGCTAAATATTGAAGTAACGAAGTGACAAATCTAGAAATACTTAACATAATATGTTAAGTATTCTTGCATTTATATTATTTTTTTCAGTATTGTTAGCTAAAATTGTTTCAAAACATTCACGATATGTCGCTGAACCATTTAACTTGAACATTGATAAAGTCGTTCCCTACCCTGATAAAGTCGTATCATGCCTATAAACGGATAGATTACGAACATTTTATACAATGACTTGACAGTGTTTTGTGCTCAAATTGTTCCTTAACACTCACGAAACCTCACTGGAAAATTTGAAACATTAAGCATAAATATCCATATACATTTTAGCGAATTGATTAAGTACATTTTATTCAATAATGGGTCACTGTTTTTAGCTTAAATTGTTTCAAAACACCATATAAGTTATATGAAGTGATCTCGCCGAATAATTTCAGCCATCAAACTAAGTAATCGATTCAGCCGTTCGCTTAAAAAATTTCAAAAGAGCTTTTAGCGGATAATCCAAACATCCTCGTGTCACTTAATAGGGCAAAATAGTTCAAAATTTAAAAATCTGTCATACGAAATAACTTTTTAGCCTGCTAAAAGCTATCTGTTTTAATAAAAATGACTACACAAGGGAGAAATCTTATCATATGCTGGTATAGAAAAACTTGGAAACCTGTTATATCTCTCATAATTAAAAAAATATTCCCAATACTATAAAGCATTTATTTAATTTATTTATTTAATTAATTTATAGGCTCATTAATTTATTCTGTTTGCATTATCAATGAACCCCTGTATGTAATTGTTTTAATGAAGATACCGTTACCATTGCGCAATTTTTATAATGATATTTTTACTTATACAAATAAACTAATTTGAATTGTTAAGTTTTAAATTTCACCAATCAACAAACAGAAATAATAGCAATTAATCAATACTATGTGAATAGACTATCTCAATTGTTGTAGCAAACTATTCTAAACAGAAACAACTCTGATGGAATACGGCTGATAGAATAATGAGGATATTCCTATTAACACAACAGTAATAGTCCTCAATACAATGAAGTTGACAATGGGCAAATGAAAAAGGAGATAGAGGCTCCAACATTTGCATTGTCTAGGGTCATCTATCTGCATGGTATTACCTGTCCCTCACCACAGGTAATAATGCACAACCGGCAACAAAGTTATTGTCAGGAACCTACTGCAAACCCAGATAACATGACTGGCTTTCAACCTCATATGATGAACAATGCAGAAAATAATCTATTAATTCCTATTAATTAATTCAAGGCTGGACATCAATAAATATAAGCATGTTAGAATTCATAAAAACCAATTAAAATTTTAGCTCCATCAAAAATTGTTAAGCCAAGTTAAAAATCATTTCAAACTATCTAAAAAGCGCGCTAAATGGCAAAGGATATGTACTGTAACTGGACACAATAGATATTTAATAATAATGGAAGAGAGAATATATCTGATCTCGAGTGTTAAGAAACTTCAGAAAATATTTCCCACACACAAAAGAAGCAGTTCCATAGATATTAACGTAAACGAAGGTATTAGGTACTAATAACTGCAACAATAATCATATATGTACTACATATTTTCTTAAGTAATGCCCTTTATTAGTTAATGATATACAACAGCAAAGACTTAAGTATCGCTGTTAATACAAAGTGCAAAGTTAGGCTCGATACATACCCAAGGTTTCAGAGTAAGTTCGATACCTAAGTTCATCCACCTGGGACTTTAGGGTATGTTTCTACAGATAATGTAACGTGTATGCGCCGATAAACATGTAGTTACGTGGGCAAACTTCATGTATTAGTAATACTACGAGCTTTTCAGTAGAGATACACGGTTTGTACACGTACAACATTATCTACTACTAGCATTGTGTGGGTCTTTTTGGATACTAGTAAAATATTACACAATTGAAAACAAATAACCAAGTGAATCACTTGCGTATACCCTGATTATTTATTTAAAATATATTCTATATGCTCTACAGTTTATATATATATAATTTTTGTTATACACTCTTTTTTCAAATTCATGGAATTCAAGTACATCAGAGGAACTGAAAAAAATATCCTATATTGAATTGCAAAACAAATGGACCAATGACAAATAAAAAGTAAGCCAAGTAAAGACAGCATAACTTCCTCACCGTTTTCATTGGCTAAACAATGTCTATATTACAAGATCTATAATTTTTCGCATGAGAATAAAATTCCCGGGAGAAGCCGTTTTCTTATTTATTTATTTATTGTTACATTCCGCATCTACCCGATCGGGTCATTAGCGGCTTTAGGTGTAATCAAATTCGGTGTACAAATTTAATGTCTTTTATAAATTCAAATACTTTTTGTATCTTTTCTTCGTCATCTGAAAGTGCTTCAGATATGTTGGAAGGTATATTATGTTTTGTTCTGGTGTCAGAGTATAGTCTGCAAGTTGTTACAATGTGTTTTAGTGTAAGTGATGTGTTTCATGTTTTACAAAATGGTGGTTCCAGGCCTCTCATTAGGTAGCCGTGGGTAAAGGCTGCATATCCAATTCTAAGCCGAGTTAAAATTGTTTCTTCTTCTCTGTTCTTTCTGAAAGAGGTCATCCACGGTTTGGTATCTTTTTTCATTTCTTGTAATTTATTCGTAGATTGGTTCCACTTGAATTTCCATTTTTCATTTAGCATTTTTTTGCATTCCAATCCAGTCAGCAGTGGTCGTTAAATTGATCATTGTGGTTCCATTAGTTTTTCTTCTTGCCATGTTCGCAACTATGTCTGCAGCTTCGTTCCCAGATATGCCACAATGTGAGGGTGCCCATGCGAGAACGATGTCTCTGACCGGCGACTCCTTCATTTCCCAGAGGCAGTTTTTGATTTTCCTGGAAATGGCATTGTCAGCTTTCCCTTGTAACTTTAAGGCCGTTTTTTTAAATATATTAATTCGTTCAATTTTCGCAGGATTGAGATCCACGAGTTTTGTTCATCAGCGAATACTAAAATGCGAAAAAGTTCCATATTTGCAGATTATGTACTTGATGATTCGTGATTAAAAAATATATACCCATACATACTGAACAAGCTTATCGCAACTGTTGGTGCAAAAGATCCTATGTAAACATCGAGTGTTTTACAGGTGAGCATCACAAAAACTAATCATTGTTTATGATTTATTAGTATAATTTCATATTTTATTTTCCTTTACTATTTTCCGTAGTATCTATATCCGTTGCAGATTACAAGATGACATCTTTAGCACGAATTCAATAAAAATAGAATTTTTTTTCCATTCGAATAGGTATTTTTTCACTCGTAAAATGTACGGAAGAAAAGTCCTTTGGAAAAATTCAATTTTTTTTTTGTTCGGAGGTTACGAGTCCAATATTTTTCTTCAGTTATAAAAAAAGTAATGTACGCTGGGTTTTTTTTTCACAAATTCAGAGTAAGAATTAATTAAGATTTACTGAAAATTACACAAAATATAAGTATCGGTAGAGCCATTATATTCTTAACAATTATTTATATTAATTTTAATTATTGAATGGAGTTCAATGAAATTAATATTACGGAATTTCTATACTATTCTCTAATCATTATTTTATTTCCAGAAATTAATTGGCTTTTATAATTACCATTTTGTTATATATATATATATATATATATATATATATATATATATATATATATATATATATATATATAAATAAATAATTTTGTATTTTAACTTGCTTCTTCCAAATAGATAAGGAAATAACAACGATCCCATATGAGCTATTTATGAAAATAGGACTTTATTATGATATACCATTAAAAATATCATTAATATACATTGTAACTAATAAAAGTTTCATTATTTTTTTTTTTGTTTAAAAAAAAAGAGAACAAATCGAATCAAAATTTTCTTCAAGGAAGATCGTGTGAAAGAGTTACACCAGCAAGTGCTGGTGCCTTTAAATCATGTAGAGAGCCAGGAGGTAAGTGTGGTTTAATAGTACCCCACGTCCTGCGGTCCTAGAGGGATGAGGGAGTTGATAGGTTCTCCAAGTTCGGGCCAAGTTGGAACAGAGCACAACTCCTCAGCCACCCCGGAAGTACAAGCGGGATTGTCAAGAACTACAAGTCGGGAGCGAATGACAAAGAGAGGCAACATTATGGAAGGGATTGGAACCTAAGGGAGGAAGAGCACTTAGAGAACCGTCTCTCCTAAGGAAAAGTTTACGTTGATCAAAGGAACAAATACAAAGTAATCAATAATTAAAATCAAGAGAGCAATCAGCAAGGTGCATAGAGGGTTAATGGCGGTTTTTGATAAAATAATGAAGAAAACCTAAATCACTAATTAATTACCCGACAAAGTTCCCGGAGTAACAATACAAACAATATCTAAGAAAAACTTAGATATTCTTTGGAGACAACGTAGTCAGATATTGCCTAAATGTATGTGTCACACATTTTAACGAAACAACAATTGCTTGGATTCACTTATAGATTTTCTTATGAAATATGATTACTAAATTGTGACGTAAATCCACTAGCTAGTAGATTTTTTTAAACAACGAAAAACAGGCACTATAGTCTTCATAAAGTCACTTCAGGCCAAGTTATAATATTCTGCAATAATTACTGTTAATAAAGTATTTCGTTTTATATTTATATTTATTACTCATTTAATGATATTTTTTAAATAATACAAAACATAATAGGACAACGTGAAAAATCTACAGCATGGTAGCACTTTATGTTTAGATTAACCCAAGATTTTTTATTTGAGTGATGTAATTTTTACAGATGAGTCTTGTTTTAAAATAGATAATTAGGTAAGGAAGAATTATTAAGTTTGATTTTCAAACCAAATTCGCGAGAGACAGTTATAGATAGAAGAGAACTAGCGGTGATTCAGAGCTTTTAATCTTGGAGGAGAAAACTGATTTTTATTCATAGGCAGAATTATGGATAGATACAAGCTGCTATTCTCCAGAGAAATATAAAAAAGAAAACAATATAAATTTAATCAACTTTTAAACTCTATCAAGACAATGATTCTAAAAATACCTTATCTACGATCTTTGGAATGCTGCTAGATTGCGACTGGAAACCTCTAGTCAATAATCAAAATAAATCGAATTAAAAATATATGAGTCCACATACAAAGATAATTTTGGACTCCAATACACATTCGGTAACAAAACAATATTAGATAAATAATAATTTTTGAGTTAAAGTAAATCGAATGTTTACGAATAGGTATTCGTATATTTCTACTAATTAATTTTCCTTAATTAATTATAAATATCTTTATTGAACCCGGCTTATAAACTCCTCTCCAAAGTAATCTTCGCAAGGCTACTTCCCAATGCTGAGAATATTAATGAAGGATACCAGGCGGATTTCGATAGGATATGTCAACAACCGAACAAATCTTCATTCTGAAACAAATGTTGGAAAAATCCATGGAATTCGGAATAAGCACCCGTCATCTCTTTATAGACTTTCGTGCAGCGTACGAAACAGTCAACAGGAGGCAAGAAAAAAAATACACTATACACTATTGATTATTTGAGTTTTAGAGACCAGTCCCAATCCAAGCCTTGTGCGTTGTTCATTAATAATATGTTTATTATTATTATTAATAAAATTTTTCATATACCATACGTTTATTAGCATTAAAAATATTTATCTCGGTAACTGTGGTAAAACAATGAAGCGATTTCCTAAATACTAATAAGCTGAATTCTCTCATCAAACTAAGCAGGAATTAATAAGAATTCCTAACTCCTCCCCCACTTAATTAGATATAAAAGAGCGGGGGCTTCCTTTGAGCGATTAGGGGTGGATAATATTCCCGGCATCATGCATGATGGTAGCAGCTTCTCCATCAACCCTTGTTCAAACAACTTTTTTAATTCTCCAACCAGGCTAAGAAATAATCCGTCCCTAGTCTCAGTTTAATAAAAGTTGAAAATGCAATATTTCAAAATGGAGCAACGAACGTGTGTAGCTTAATAAGAACAGTTTAGTGTATTAATAATCCTCCATCCTACTCGCCGCGAAACCGTCGACCAAGAAATATTATACCACTAAAAGTAGATACCTTATTTAATACAGGATTTCGTAGGAAAGAAAAATTAATTCAAGTAAATGAAGTTTTTTTTTAAATTATTCTTTCCTTCAATTTCTAATAGCACAATTTCACAGAAAGAAAAAAATATTTTTAATAATTAAATTTTAAATTCGATCATTGGATCGTGATCACGGCATCTCAAAAATGATAATTCCTATGAAATTTAAATCTTTAATGATAGTTACTCTAACACTGGAAATGTTGGAATAAAGCTGGGTTTGAAAAAAAAATATATATATATATTCTTCAGAGCTCAAAAACTATACTTCCAACTATACTGCAGATACCACACTTACAGAAAAACTTCCCTGTTTAGTAAACCTTAGTTCATAATAATTAAATTGAGGATTATAGCGAAATAATTTGAGATACGCTTCAAGTTGTGTAAAAAAATTAATTTCAAAGCTTTATTTTTTTTCCATTACCAAGGATGTATTGTAATAAAATGCATAAATATAAGTTTTGTTTTTTAAAAATAACATGTTAAAAATGATTTTTCAAATATTTATCATTTAAAGTGGTAATAAACCGTGTTTTACTTTCCCACCTAAAATAGGAAAGAAAAGTATTGCGAGTCAAACTTCCGATATGCGGTTTTCGACGGATCTATGCGTTTCAGAGCCCCTTGAATCCGAAAGACACATTTTTAGCCATTGGTCTGTTTGTCTGTCTGCGCCAAGATTTTCTCGGAAACTACTGAACCGATTTTGTTGCTTCTTTTTTTATTTTGTAGGGTTTTGAATATTGATGCCTTTGACGGAACTTCTGTGCTCCATTTTCAGGAAAATAAATCTAATTCAATTTTTTTTTTTTTTTTGTTTCTTCATGAACATATGTAAAGATATAAAAACGTTTCTGAGATACTTAGGAAAGCCGTGGACACACCAGATTTAAAAAAAAAAATATATATCTACTATACTAATTGATGAGTATTTTTAAGTGACCAACTAAATGTTCCTAATCTCAATGTTTATGTTTTCACGAAAATAATTCAATGGATTGGCAGATTTCTTGAATTCATTTAGTAATTTATTTAAATTATTTATAAATTGGGGATATGAAAAAAAAACTTGAATTCAAAAGCAAATATTATGATAAGAAGTATTTAGTTTGCCAATAATTAATATCTATGGTCAATTTCTATGACATATAACTTAATAAAAACACTGTTTCTTTATCAATTTAGATGATAATTATTTTGAGTTTAGTGTTTTTACGAAGCAGATGTAAAAATCTGCCATATATTAAATTTTATTTATTTTTTGTTTTTTCTTTCTTCGTGTATGTGATCTTTTTTTTTCTGCCCTGAAGATGCCTGAATTGGCGAAACGTTGACAAGTAACCCATTCACATGTTTGTTGGAGACTCATGGCTTTGTTGTTTGGATATTTTCATTTATACCATAATCGCCTTATATATCTTTTCTAGCTTTGTCCTAATTTTTCCTAACATTTACTTTTGGAATAAAGACTTCATACTTTTAAAGTTAACATTACTATTTTAAACTATAAGCATATAATATATACAATAAAGATAATGTGGCCCGATTCATTTTTTATTTTCGAAAAAAAAACCTTAAAAGAGTAATTGCTCTTCTCTAAAAGTTCATTAGTTTGATAATTTTTTGGAAGCAGTTATTCTGGAGCTGCAGGCCAGATATTTTTTCTCAGGCACTCTTAGCGGTTGGGGCCTAAGTCATGTATAATGGATGCAATTTAAAAGCCATTTCCAACTCGTAATAAGTATTCTTTTTTCCCCTTTTTTTATTAAGATTATTCTAATTTTCATTCTTTGTTTTATTTCGAGAGTTATCTTTAACAAATTGAAAGTTTTAAAATATATTTGTCCAGATGAATCAATCAATCAAATATAGTTATGACGAATCGACAGTCTACTTGTCTGAGTCCCATTTATAAAAAGAAATACAGGTTTTGTGTCTGTTTAACAAAAGAGGAAAATTTAAAAATTAAAGAAATAGATATTTCTAGAAATAAAGAAAAAGAAAATTTGATATTCTATTTACATGCATTTGGTAAGATAAACATCGTATTTCTTCGTTAATATGAAAGTTTATTGAAAAGCCTATTACTTTTTCTGTTTTATGTATATTTTCTGACTATTTTTACTAATAATATTAAATAACAGTAAATCCTTCGCTACCAATTAATTTATTAGTTTCAGAAAAAGTAATGGAAAATTATTTCTTTTAGTAAAAAAGTTTTGCATTCTTGACGATCCTTTGGATATACCATCTCAGACACAAGTTAAACTATGAAACTAGTTTTTCTGAGGGAGAAAAACGCCCCTTTTTCCATTGAAGTCAAAATTATTTTAGATATTATATTTCGAAATACATTTCATCATTTCATCACCTGAACTCATTTTATTAGCCATCAGAATAATTTTATTGAAGGCCATAACAATCAAAATGAGAAAAAGTATTTTTGATTTTACCTAAAAATAAAATTTCTTTTAAAGTTTGCCTCTCCACTCTCCCTAGTTCCGGCTCTGATGTTACAAACATTCCTTGCTATTCCTGAAAAAACGACAAAATCGATAAAGTGAACCAAGACAATATAATATAACAGCACCTAAACGATAATCAAAATCTATATCTTGGTATCTTATACGCCGTGAAGCAGTTTCCTTGCTTAAAATACTGACAAAATATGAAGTATGTTCCAAAATTAAAAAAATCGAGTCATCTTGCGACAATATCTTCACTCAACCATTTCATCCAACACATAGAAATTATTTCAATAATTTAAAAATTCATAAATTTGGGAAGGGTAGGGATTCGATTTGTGTATAAAAAGGACGATATTAAATATAGTTTACGAAATATTCATGAAAAATATAGTTTTGAAAGTAACTTATTAAACATTAATTAGGAATTTTTCGTTGTTTTTTTTTTTTTTTTTTTTTATTAGTTTTGATGAAATAGTATGTGATATATATCACACCGAAAAAATAAAATAAAACCAATATTTTTCATAATAATAATAATATAAGCGATAAATAATATAAAATGATATTATAAAAAGAAATTAAATTTTTCTATACAAATTTCTTTTAAATATAATGATTGTTAACATTTTTATCTCGTTATGCCCCTAATTCCCTGATGTATGCTATTGATAAGGCACTACTTATTTTTTCAAGTCACAGAAGATAATTGAAAGACGCAGATGTCTGTAAATGGCTTCCTGGTCGCAGCGGAATTGCTGGAAACGTAAAGGCAGGAACGCAGGCAAGACAAGCAATAAAAGTGTCCAAGGGTTTTCAACGACTAATCACAACGATTTAATGTATTGGATCAACGAAAAGGACAGAGTGGATGGATGGAGTAAATAAAATAATGGTTCAACATGAGGTACAGTAAACTAAGAATGATACAATAACATGTATGTAACATTTAAGAATGATACAATAACAAGTATGTATATACAATAACCAAATAAGTATATACAATAACCAAAACCGCCTCGCCACGCTTAGGCTATAACTTGCCCCCAACAAGATGAAAATTCGAGTTCAAATCTTCACGGTACTTGATCAAGTAATGTTATTTTCTCCTTATCCTCCTATTATAATGTTATAATATATATATTTCTGTGTTCATTCGCCAGAATCAGATAAGAGGGCAATGGAGGTTAAATGGTTTTAATAAAGGAGCAGGTGAAATTTTAGAGTGAACACACGAAGAAAAGTTAAAGTCATATCAACCAACTCAATCAGACATTAACTGAGATTTCTGGTGCCAAGGAAATTAAAACAGCCTTTTCTGAACCAATGCAAGCTCTCAAGTAAGTATTATAACAAATTAGGTAATAGAATAAAAAAAAAAAAGATTTTTACATTGAAGTCGTTTTTAATTGTTAATTGAATTAATAATGTAACAATGAAAAACACCTAACCTTATCTACGTAATTTTTAAACAGTAGACATAATATCGATCACACCAAACATGTAGGTGTTACACAACGTAAGAAATAAGTTTAGAAAAGTATTTTTATCCGTGTCACGTGCTAAAATTATACATATGTCAGTTTACTTAGTGAAATTTTTTTAATTGAATGTTTTGATTTCGAGTAAAAAAATACAAAAAAATATACAATGCCAGGAGAAGACAGGAGGATCCACCAACTGCAAAAAGATATGTTCATCCTCATTTGTCACAGAAATAAGCACCCAGTATCAATATATAAAAAAATGAAGAAAATATTTGGCTGCGAGTCTATTTCTTTAATGACTTGTTTTGACTGGTGAGTAGCGATAAATATTTTGTAACGATAATCCTAAACCAAACCTTCAAAATAAATGTAAAAAAAAATTAAAAGTTAACCTAGCAACAATAAAGAAAGTAACAAATAGTATACACCAGCGAGAAATCTCACTGCTATTACATATCTATTCTTCAGAATGCATTCTAAGTATTAGAGATCAGAATGACATGTTTATTCGTATATAAAATATAATACATAAACATAACGTATTTGTTATGTTCCATACTTTAACACTACTGTTAAAGTAACTATTTACCCAAAAGTTATCCAACTGGAAAATATCCTTCCAGTTTAATAGTTAAGCTATAAAGTACAGTTATACCAGAGCTTATACAAATTGAGCCCACTAAAGACATATTTATGAGGTTTGTTGTTCTCCCAATTATTATGTGTGTATACGTCTATTACTGAATGTATAGAAGCTTCTATATTATCTGAAGTACACAAGTAGTGTTGCCCATAATCGGTCTTGGTCTTGCACATTGCAAGACCAAGACTAAGGCCGCTTAACTGTTGCAAGAAAAAGACCAGGATTGGTAAAACAATTCGATTTTTAAATAAAAATTAAGGCAAAATAGTTACTAATAGCTTAGTTAATATATGTTAACAATTGGTATAACTGCTGTAATTTTACATTCGGGATTAGTTAAGTTTCTCATATCTAAAAAAATACAGTAATATCTCTATAGTTGTGAGCTAATAAGTAACTGCAAGACTTTTGCGAGACTCTTGCGCAAGACCAAGACCTTGACCAAGACAGAGTTTGCAAGACCAAGACTCGTCTCGGTCTCGCATTTGGGCTCACTATACACAAGGAATCATGGATCTATTTTCCTCCATTTACCTTTTATCAAATGATTGTTAGTTCGAAAAAGACTACCATTAGTAGTAATATTTTTATTTTTAACCCTAAACTAAACGTGATAGGTATCACATGGCAACCATAGCACCAAAGAAGCATTCGGTAAGAATTATGACGTCTTTTTTACAGAAATATCTCCAGATACTTTTTTGTCACTTATTAAGACCTGTTACAAATTTCTTTCTTTTTTTTACTCAAATATTTTATTTTTACCTGTAAAACAATCAGCAAATAAACTAATATAAAACATACATGGCATGGGTAGGCATAAGAGAGACAGCACGCAGCGATGCAAACATCTGACATTCCGCTAAATTTTATTATTGCACTATGAGGTCCCTCATCCAACTCCTTTTCAACCTAAGCCGAGGTACATTAGGAATGTAATCTGTTGAATAAATTTGTTAATGTGTCCATGTAGTTTGTCGTGACACTGTTTGTAATTTATACGAATGTGGGTTGTAGCAGTCGGAACGCGTAAGTCAGTGTGAAGGATCTCCTTAGAGATATAGAGTGGTGAGTTCGTTCGTTATCAGTCTTAAAAATTAAGATATGAACGTCTCAAATACACTTGATTTTATAAATTAATACGATTGCACAAATGAGGTTATAACCTCTATCGTAAACCTGTTGTTTTATTGAATGTGAAATTTAAAAAAAAAATGGAATTCTTTAAATTAAATAACATTCTTTCATCACAAATGAAGGGCATCAAAATGAAGATTTGAAATGGGTATAATGAAATATAAAAGGCAATGTGAAACTTTTGGCCACCTGAAAATTAATATTGTTAATTATTTAAAATATTTACTGATGTGAAATTTAACCTATTTTGTTAAATAACCTGTTTAATATTAATTTTCAATAAAACATTCTTTTATGACATATGGTTTCAAAAAAATAACTGTTGTTTTATTAAAAGAAACTGTTACTATAAGTGACTGGCAAGTAAAAAATACCAGAATTACGATTAATCTAAAAAACAGAACATTTTTGAGCTTTATAACGTTGGACCAAGATAGTTCCTTTGGAAGTAAACCTGGTCTTGTCCGCGTCGAAACCTTCAAAACACAATTTGTCTCGTCTCGATTCATCGACATTTTTTACCATCTGAGTTTTGAAACCATCCAATATTTTTACAGGCTTTTATTAAAGTTGTAGGAATTCAATGATCGAAATTCCAAACTTCTCCATGATGGTCATACACGTTTAATAAGTTATTCATCAAAATCCATCTCTGTTAAAAGCTGAAAAAGGGATCTATCGCTACTTTTACCGCAAAAGATCGTTTGTAAAAATTGAGTTTTTTTTTTTTTTTACAAATGAGCATAAAAACTGATTATTTCTTTGTTATATATTAGTTTAATTTTACTATTTATTGCAGTAGCAGGCTACGAAATGTCACCTTTAGCACAAATAGAATTAATGTAGTTAATTGATACATACGACCTCTTGCACTAACAGTAGCATAATACTACGGTATTAAACACATACAGTTTAGGTTAATTCATTGTTAAGCTTTAACGATACATGAGGATGATTTCAGGTAATGGTAACTCCAAGTAACAACTCCAGAAGACAGGCATAATATAAACCTTCAGCGCTTCGTATTGAATGACTTTTTGACAACGTAAAATGCCAGTAAAAGATTTACAAAATTTACCATTCGAGCATCCCTTGGGAAATGTCGACCAACACATATTAGCTTTGGTAGAAGTTAGAATCGAAAATTGTTCACTATTTCTTATTAATAAGCGTTTTTGTCGAAGATAAGGAAGCATTGTATTCGTGCGATAGGTTAAAAAAAATTATGTGCTCAGAATCGAACATTTCCACTCGCGTTTTACGTTTCGGATATCAAGGAAGGATCAAATTTGGTTCGTTGTCTGTATGTCCGTCTGTCTGTAGCCTAATCGATGTGACGGGCATATCATCTACTACTTTTCATCCAATTTTCATGAAATTTTCAGAGCTTGGTGTCTAGATGGTCCCATATCGATTTTAATATATTCCATCCGCCACTTCCGCTTACGCAAGCGTAACTGTAGTTTCGTAGATATGCCAATATTTCAGAAACGGCTCATTCGATTTGGCTCAAAGTTGGATAAAAGGTAGGTATTTGTAAAAAAATAATACAATGTCAATATACGGGTCATCATACGGGTTTCCCTTGATATATCAATATCTTTAAAACCTCCCGTTAGATTTGGCTCAAATTTTGAGGGAATTTAGGGGTTGGCAAACAGATAATCAAGTATGTATTAATGGTATCAAATTATATCCACTACTCCGGCTTTCAAGTCAAGAAATTTATTATTTGACACGTCTATACTTAGGAAACTGCTCGTTCAATTTGACCCAAACTTTGAGAATATTTGGGTAATAGTATAGAAATTACTCGGTATCAATTTCATTGAATTCCATTTAATAATTAAAATTAACATAAATAATTGTTAACAATATAATGGCTGTGAAATGTAGAAGGCATTGATAGTCTGGTGTGTGAGTTAGGTTAACACAATATTTTTATGGGCTTATAAAATTTTATGTTTTATTCAAAATACCTTTTGATGCAGATATTATTTAGCCAATGAAAACGGTGAGGAAGATTTACTGACTTTACGGGGCAGACGTTTTTGTTTTGTAAATGTTCTCTTTGTATTATTAAGATTACCATTGCTTTTATCATGTCACGGCTATCACACTTCCGTTCGCTAATCTCGCTCAAGAGTTGGAAAAAAACAGCGAACCCTATTCTGTATTGTTAGTATAGGACCTACGTCAAACATCCAAAAGGACCTACGTGGTCCTCGGCATCATATAATAGCCAAAAATAAGACATAATTTAAATAAACTATTCCATAACATGGTTTCGAATTCACTAAAATATTCTATAAATAGTTCTATTTCATTTTTGTTAATATCTACAGAGTGGGTTTTTTTCAGGTATTACGAATGCAGAAGGAAAAATCAAATTTTGAATGATCAGTAAATCGCCAATCTCCCAGAGCTATTCCGAACAAAAATGAACGCGTAACGTTGAAGGTTTATAATACTGAATACGAAATGTAGTACTGGGTAAAATGTGATGATTTAATAAAAATATAAGGCTTCAAGTTGTTTCTTATTAAATTAGAATTTAGAGAAAATAAAATTCAATATCTCTGTTTCTCTGAAGAACAATATACTAAAAGGAATTTGTAAAATCAAAAATTTATTTATAATCCTGGGACAAAGTCCCTAAGGAACATTATTTAAATTAACACTAAATAGTGCCCTGATGTGGATAGTATAAAATAAAATAAAAAGTGAAAATAAACCATAAAGGAAAATAAAATGTTTATATTAAAACAACAAAGCTACATTAAAAACAATTAAATTATATTTTTATATACAAAAGTGGTGGAGCAGTAGACCAGCCTGTTTCTAAATTATTAAAATTTAAGCGACAATATCGTTTTGAGAAACTTTAAATATTGCTAATGAATAATAGAAAAAATATTGATTATAAATAATTATCTACTATAAAATTTCTATCGGCCTGATAGCATGTATAATACTTGCAATTACAATAATTATATGAAAAACTAATTTCGGCTGATCAAAGGGTATTATTTCCATTACACTAAATCCAGATGGTGTCCGTTTTCAAGATCATTTAGTGTGCGTTACTAGATTCCCGAATCTGTCCGAAATAATGTGCCTGACGTATTCTACCGATCACCAACTGTTGTGATTACACGTAATTTTTATACGAAAATATTAACTCAATTAAAATCGATATTAGTCGTCAATGTATTGAAATCACGGCTGGCCCAAGAATCCAGGGATTCGACCAGCAAGAGAGTGCCCGCCACTTGTTAGAGATAAAAAAAATACAAAGCGTATGAAACAATTAATTTTAATCTATTAATAAAATAACTGAATTAGATCCTTATTAGCTGTAATAAAATTTAATATAAAACAATTAAAAAAATGAATTAATTTTTGGAGAAGATGACGTCATTATCCGGGAGTGCCAAATTTCTGAGCTGTCACTGATTGAAACAAATATATTTTGTAGGATATCGATCTGTTGATCACTCTCTCCGATCTAAATATCGGATTATTAACTAAGAATAACAATAATTAGAAAATTAGGTTATAATGCGAAACAATCCAACCACACAGTCTTAGAAGAAAAAAAACGGTCAAGGTTTCGCCAATTTCAGGAATCATCATAACAGAAGAAAACAGCAATTCGAACATCACTCGATGACATCTAATCCTATACTGGAAAAAAGTAAGGTAACACAGCAGGGGAAGGTTATAAGCAAGCAGCTGATCCGAGAAAAAATCTACTAATAAAAATTATGCAATATCCAATCAAAAATCATAAAAATATAACAAGAAAAAAATTTCTATATATATATACATTTATGTTCTGGCTCTTGGTCAGTTTGTTATTGATTTACATTAACTAGTAGGTCCGTGCGAAAAATTCGCACAGCATATTGTTATCAAATGCCAAATTAATAAGAAAATAAAATAATGCAACGTATCAAAAGATAAAGGAATCAATTGTTACTTTATTGATTAATATAATCGAAAAAGGAAACAAAATTAGTTTAAATCTTCATTTTTTTTTGGCACCAACATATTTACAAATGTCAATAAGCTGTATCATTGCGGAAAAGTTGTAAGATTTCAATGATTTATTTTCCTTTTGTAGACAATTTAGTAATGTTTTATATAACCATGGGAATAACCAAGGGAAAAGTGTGTAATTTTTAGTTATTCGTAAATAAAGTTTCTTTTCTTTCATAACTTGTTTGCCTGAATTTTAGGGGTGATTTTGCCCACCTGAAGGAGAAGGAAGCCTTCGAAATTGGTCGCTCAATCTTGAGATTTGGTGAAGAATTAACGATAATATGGCTTGCCGATCAAAAATACCATCGATAAATAATATAAACTCCTCCTGTCTCGATCATAGAGACCTCGAGTCGACGAAATGAGACATGTATCCAATGACAGTACTACAATTAACGTCAGGTTGTGTGGATGCGAACCACATGCCTTCCGTTATCTCGAAAATAGTACGTTTTTGGGCTTAAAAAAAGCAGGGTCCGATAGTTCCGGGATCAATCTGGGTATTAATGTACGCATCAAAATCTTTAAGGTCCAATTTGTCCCGATCTACAGACCTACCACCAGTATTGAGGCCTAGCAAAATGTTTGTACCGACTTTATTTATTTTAGAAAGAAAAAAAAATACGGATTCGCTAACCCCTACGTGAAATTCTGAATCCAACGGTCCCCCATTCATGGTATTTGAGCATGACAGGAGCTTATATTTGGTACAAATTTCGAGCCTTACTGTAATAATATATGTGGGGATGTGGGGATGGGGATGGGGATATTTAGAACTATGCATTCTCGTATCTAAATTTTCCTGGCATTATATAATTTCGTTATGTTTATTTTCCTTATATGGATTTTATTATTACACGCATTTTATCCGTTTAATTCATTTCTCCGTATCTATCAGTGAGGGTGAAAGTTTAAATTGAATTATAAAATATTCTTATTTTAGTTACGTATTTTTCTCTACATATTTCCAATTCCCGAAATTCCAATTTAATTTTAATTCATATTTTATCATTTTGTGTCGAAGGCAAACGAGCTATATCAACTTACTTTTTAGCCGAAAAATACATTCCTTATTACGCATTTTATTTTAAATATTGGCGCAAGAGGAAGACAAACATATAACCTAAGCACCATATGTAAGTCAAGGCAACTCTGTCATTCATGCTCAGGGTGGTTTTGAAACCTGCCGCTATCTTGGAGTTTCGAAAAGGAACTAGAACCCAAATAAGGATACAATATTCCATCAGAAAACTAAAAAAAAAAATATTAAAAAAGTTGATAAGAGGTAAGTGGTTCATTTCAGATTAAGGGAATACTGAAGAAAAGACTAACCTTGAAACCTTGAAATATAATTGGACGCCGCGACCTTTACCTAACAGAGTACAGGAGACCCCAAATAGAGCTGACAATACTTCAGAGGGGTAGTGCGCCACCACATGGTACGCATCCCTAATGCTCTCACTCTGATTAGAAAAAAACTCTACCTCACCATGCCTCTTTTTGCTCGTTCTAGCCTGTCCCGGTTTTCAAAAACACTATCCTCCATCAATGTTTTTCTCGTTATTCTTTTACTTATAAACTTTACTTTAGTAATCTAAAAATATTTAGCAGTTTTATGAAAGATCTTGTTCGAAGAACTTTTATAATAAAATGCCGACCTTAGTATCAGGTACACTATTTTGTAAAGAATAGATTCATCAATCAGATGCGTAAAATGTGATGCAATGATAATTTATTTAATAATAATTGAATACCTGATTATAAATAACGCATTATCAAATTACTGGGTTGGCAAATAAGTCATTTCGGTTTCTCTGCTTATTTTTTTTCACTATGTACTTCTTGTCTGATTAATGATACTTCTTAATTCTATATACTTCTTATGAATTAATCCCTAAGGAGGATTGTTTATCCTGTTTGTAATACGTCAACAACTATATCTGTTAACTCTTCTTGAAACTAGTAGTCCGTGGTACAGACCCGTTTTATCGAATTATTAACATCCGCCTGAAACTTCGTAAGTAGTTTCATCTCATCGTACCCTTCGTATCTCATATTTACGAAAACTCTTGGAATTGGGACGTTTTCAATCTGGAGGAGAGCAAACTTTGTCTATTTAATTAGGTACTAAAACCTTGTCAATACACATTTGGTTTCTACTTAGATCGTAAGATAATTTGATAAAAAAAATCGAGAAAAAACGCGACCTTCAAAAATATTGAGCAGTTTGGCGTGACCTACACTCCCAAATTTTCAAAATAACGAGGTTATATAGGACAAACGGCCCTATATCTTTGTAGGTCAATATTTATTAATTTTGTGATCACATTATCTTACGATCCAAGTAGAAAGCAAATGTGTATTAACAAGGTTTTAGTACCTAATTAAATAGACAAAGTTTGCTCTCCTCCAGATGGAAAACGCCCCGATTCCGAGAGTTTTCGTAAATAAAATAGTTGAAGGGTACGATGAGATGAAACTATTTACGAAGTTTTAGGCGGATGTTAATAATTCGATACAAACGGGTCTGTACCACGGACTATAGAGTTAGTATTGTGTTTGCTATTGCACTGTGAATATGAAAGAAAATATTATTTCATTATGCTCATATTTTTTGTATTATTTTAAAAAGGTAAGCGTGCTGCAGAAGCTCATAGAAAAATTTGCAGTGTTCGTGGGGACGATGCCTTAACCGAATATACCTGTCGAAATTGGTTTACCAAATTTCGTTTAGGAAAATGATGCTCAACGGTCAACGGTCTGGTTGTCCACATGAAACGAACAATGTTAAGACCATTGTTGATCAAAATTCCACCCAATCAGTGCGAGAGATTTCTATGGCCATAAAAGTGTAGCACACAAGCGTCGAAAAACATTTGCACAAGCTCGGCTATGTTACCAGGTTTAATGTTTGGATTTCTCGCATAATTTTTTTTCGAAAATCACGAAAAATGTTATAACTTTAATACGACTTTAGCTATCTACAAGAACTTTAGCAATAAGGAATACATAAACTACACCTTCGTAAACAAACTACAAATACAAATGGAGATAAACAATCTTTTTGATTGACTCTCTTTAATTGTATACGATTCAGCTGATTATATATATATATATATATATATATATATATATATATATATATATATATATATATATATATATATATATATATATATATACTAAAATTAAAGCCACTAATTACCTTCAGTTACTAAAAGATAGCGATCGGCTTAAAATTACTCAGATCTCACAACTCCTATATTCCCAAATGTATCCGAAAGGCAGCGGAGTCACCCGATCCACAACCCTTCATTGAAAATTACCCGCACATTTTAAGAGGAAAAAATGTATTCAATTATAATTATACTATATTTGATATTAAAAATAGTCGATAATAATTGTTAAAATATTGAAATAAAAATAATTAGCGGTATTCCGATATGATAATCAGATTATTAACTACGAATAAAAATAATTACGGCGC